CTAGATATTTATGCACAAATTTGATAAGATCTTAAAATTTGTTGGATAATTTCAACTTTTCTTATGAGCCAGGAATTCAAAACGTTAATATGACCGAGATAGATTATATAAATATTCAAATCAGACGTTCAGTTTCGGGTAATTTCATACGAAATCGATAACTTTACAACCCGACTCTTTTTATTAAAATTTTTTATACTGAGAAAACATCATAAGCAGACATCAAATTCAAAATTTATCCTTTTAGAAATAATTGAGTATCAGTATCCAAAGGTGCAGAAATATACGTTTTTTAAAAATATATTTGGATTATTAGAAAAAAAAGGCTTTTATTATAATATAATATACAGTATTTCCGAAAAAATATCAGAAAGAATCCCATTATCACTTAAAATTAAATATTTTTATTTAATAAAACTGTTTTTTAAAATCAAAATATTAGTATGTTTATTGTGCTAAAAAACGAATTTGCGATTTTAGTTGCTTAATTGTGAATTTAATTGATATATTTTACTTTTTACAAATTTCATAAATTTTTAATTATAATTAATTTTAAAAAAGTTTCCCCTCTCCTTTACACTATAAGAATTTATTTTTGTAACGGTCGTGATGGTCAAAAAAATAGTAGGTATTTTTGAGAATATAGATTTTCTTAAATCAACGATTCAAACTGGGTTTTTTAGACATATTTAGATTCTAGCAAAGTGATCAAACCATATGTAAAAAAGCTATGATAAAAAAAATTGTAAATTTTTAAAATGAAAGTAACTCATTTTATAGACCTTAAAGTTGGCCCTACCATTTTGAATTTTTAAATAGTTTTTTTTAAATTCGATTTGTACCCTCACTGTTTTTGTAATATTACAAAAAATCAAAAGGATGAGCTAACTCATTGATGCCTCTCCATCTTAGATTTTACTCTTTAATTTTCTTAAACGATACAAATTTTTTCTCTTCATTATATTTCGGAGCATATTTTATAATATTAGTTTATCCTGAAATCGAATTTTTAGCTTTAACATAAGCGTAAAGTCGGCCTCACATTTTTGATTAAGTTTTTGCCGTGGGAATTATTCTTACCATTTTAAACAATCCGGTTTTGAAATATTCGCGTTTAAAACTATTGCTCAAAAAAATACTAAACTTAATGATTTTTTAAATGGGAGACGATAGAGGACTTTCTCTCCTTCCTAATGATGCTTTAAAATAAATGTTTGCATTAGTTTTCCCAGAAATATTTTTAAATTTTCAATACGGGATCGAGTTGAAACTTTTTAAACTCGACTTCATAACTATTTTTGAGATGAGCGCAGAATATCAAATCTTCAACGATTATTTCTTTTTTACGGGAAATGATAGAGGACCTTTTTATCTTTCTTAACGATGCCTTAAAATTATTTTTCATTAATTTTTCTGGAAACCAGGGTTTTAGCTTAAAAATATGCTTGAAGTTGGTCCTACCTTTTTGAAATTTTGATAATCGAGTTGTAACCATTTCTGTCTTTGAGATATTCTCATTTGAAGTAGCATAGTATTTGATAATTATAATAAAAAAATTTCTAAAATTTGTGTTCGACTTTTCTTTAAGAAATTATCCTCCCCACTCACTACCTTACTTTCCTTAAAACTCTATCAACTTGCACTAAAACGTTTAATATATATATCAGAGACCTGTTTTAATATTTTTAAATATACCCGGGCCGGGCCTAAAAAATTAAAAAAAAAAATTTAACCAAATATTTTAAATAGCCAATATTAACTGTAAAAATTAAATATAAATAAAATATATTTTGAAAAAATCCTTGGCCTGGTCTGAAATATATTTTCAAAAATAACCCAGGCCACCGAAAAATATTTGGACCGGGTCAGCAAAAATTTTTTAAAAACAAGCCGGGCCATGCAAATGGCACTTCTGCAGGTCTCTGATGAGAATTTGGGTAGTAAGTAGCTTACCTAAAATTCATTACTTAGGGTTAACCCGAGGTATTTTAGAATTGAAATCTCTATATAATTTTTATCATTTCTGATTTCCGGATAGGCTTATTTATCACTTATTATAGAAGAGACCTGCATAGGTACCATTTGCACGGCTTGGCCTAGTTTTCTTTAAAAAAGAAATTTTTACTCCCTTATTTTTTTAAAATATATTATTTATTTTTGATTTTTTAGCTAATAATGGCGATTTCAAATATTTGGTTTTAAAATATACGGCATGGCCGGGATATATTTTAAAAAATTAAAATAAAGCCCGGGGGCTGGGATAATAAATTTTTAAATGATGAATAGAATAATTTTTGTACACTAGAATTTATTTTTCCATATTTTTTTTGTATAAAAATCAGTATTGTCATTCATTTCATCTTTTTAAAATGTTCTTTATACCACTACTCCCTTCCCTCTCACATATTTTGGAAATTTTTTTGTTGAGTGCCTGTCAAACAAAGTTATAATATTACTCAAAAAATAATTTTTTTAAAATTCATGTGTAATTTTCTCTAGCCTTCATAATTAAACGATAAGAAGAAGCCATTTCACAACCCCCCCCCCCATTTTAACGAATTTTACCATCTTTTTGACACCTTTATAATAGAGTTTATAAGATACTTTTCAAATGTGTTTAGATACAGATATATTTTTCCCCAAAATACTATTAAGATACATTTTTTATTCAGTAATATTTATATATATATATCGTTAGCTTTTATTAATAAAACTTCCCGTTTAAACAAATTTTTAGCTTAAAGTATTTCAACTTTTGGAAGGTATGGTAATGTTATATTTTATGAATAAAAAAAATGACTTTAAATATAGTAAAATCACGACACTTATATAAAAAATAATCATTCAAATTTTGATTAAATTTTTATCATTGTCCATATCCTCTTAGAAGTGTTGAAAAAAATATCCTCTTTTTTTTCCTGCTATTTTATATTTAGTATTATTTGGAAATTTTGAAGGTTCATCGTCTAATCACTTTGTCAATTCCTTTTTTCTTTTCTGCACGTTACCATATCTTTTGCTTTAAAAAAAAGTGTGAGAGGAATGATATTATTAATTAGTGTATATTTAATAGATAAATTCTGCTGCCATATAATAAATATTATTTGGTAGTGGGTTTGAGATAGAATAACTGAGACTTATTCGGGCACAATGGTTATATGAATTTACGACGTGACTCCTATTTTTGTGAGTTAAATAATTTTTATAATTGGAGGCTATAAAATTGCCGATATAATTAGTTGAATAAATTTTTCGATGGTGCATGCATTTATTATTGTTATATGCTTATTATAGATTAGGGAACAGTTGTAAATCTATAAAGCATATTTTTTTAAAAAAAAGTATTCAAAAATATCCATTGATGCCACTAGTAGTGTGGTATGTGATGTTGACATATCGCATCCCCAAATAAAAATTTTGAATGACATAATGATGCATTCTCATCTTTGAATATGAATAGTTACATGTGCCATTGTCTCATTTCCAAATCAGGCTTGATGAAAAATATAAACTACTTTTGTGATTTGGCTCAATGTAATTAGCTTCAATGTAAAATGTTTGAAGGGTAAATCTGTGCGATCAACGTATTTATTAATAATTTGGGCAATAATGGATAGCCTACATTATATAAAATTTAACTCTTAAATTGGGATGTATCACTTATAAATACATCGCAATTTCATATAAACATCTTGTCTCAATTCGTAGTCAAATTATCCTATACTATATGATGTTTGTCATAAGAATTCCACACCCATTCACAAATTAATAAAATTATTTCGCTTGATTCTGGACAAGAAAGTTTGGATTGCGCGCAAATATATTTTGTATTACAAATATCAAATATTCATTTTCATAATATATCTGAATCTTTATTATCTTCTATTATTTCTTATTAAAAATGAACATGATTTTTTAAATTAAAATGTTTATAAGTACACTAATACTCTTATATCAGTCTAGCAAACAAGATTTTGAATGGCCCAGTCAACGTGATATAATATAATATTTTCTTTTGAAAATACACTCTTTATTGGGGCTTGATTTATGCATTGCTTCCTTATAATAGTGCACACAATGTCATATCCTTATTTATATTGTCCTACTCTACTTAGCATTATATTAAAAACAGAGGCGCCAATACTCATAAATTATAAAGATTTTTCATAAATTTAAATTTAAAAAATCGAGCCACCAGTTATATAATTTAAACGAAATATTATTTTGTATAAATACAGTGGCATTGGGGTCGAATTTTTTTTTTCAAACACTCGCTGGAGGGTGGGGGCAACAAAAGACAAATTGGTGTTATTTAAAACAAATATTTATTAAGGCCGTGTAAGAGGTGCATTGGGCGGGGGACGAGCGTAATAGGGCTTTCTAAAATGTCTTCAACATTGGGCGGCTAAATTTTTATATTTTTCAGGGGAAATGAGCAGAACAGACTTCAATTTATTAAAAATAATAGTTTCATTTCATAATATTGGATATTATATATCTTTAATTAAAAATACAAAACCTTAAAATATTTTTTAAACATTAGGGCGGGCGGGAAATTTTTTTTAAAAAAATATAAAACGGGCGGACGGGTTTAAAAATTTCCAAACAACGAGTGGGTGAGCTTTTTAGCTAAAATCCGCCCATTGCAGACCTCTAGACCATGTCAACGCTCGTATTATTTCTAAGCAGCCATCTGTTTAGCTACACCCAGTTTTCTCAAACAGACGAAAAAGAAAGACAATTATGATTTGCCGCGTTTTTGTTTTATTTGTACCTAAAAAATATGTAAATAATAACAAATGATTGTTATTTAAAACGGGCAAACTTAAAAAAAACTAGTATAGGGTGTCATGGCTTAAAGGCTGAACAACCTAGGCTAAACAGATACAAATTTTAAAAAAATATCGACTATACGACCTTAAATTAACGCATGCAAAAGAGTTTGAATATTATCAATAATATAATGATATATTTATAATAATAAAAATTTACGCCTTTAGTTCATCGTAATCCGGGTTTCGAAAAAAAACGCCGCGCCCATTACAACGAATTTCAAGCCGCAAAACTGGCTAAAAAACTACTGGCCCGAGAGCTACCCCTAGACACTAACAAGGGGGGCGATGAAGACAAACGGTTAAAGGAAGCCGAAGCAAACGCAAAGAAAAACACTCAAACACTTTCCAACAATATTTTAAACACGGAGTACTCCCCCTCACATCATAGTCATAGCCCCACGCGCAACTGAATTGAGTTATATTTATAATATTATTCTATATATTCAAAAATAAAAAGTTGAGACTGAACATTTGGGATATATATATCCTTTATAAATAAAGAAAAATCGAGTTATTTTCTTTTTAAAATAATTTTATTTATAGCATAATACAATTTCATGAAATTTTTTAAACAATCCGTAATTTTATAATCGTTGATAATTTTACAATCATTTTTTTTGATGAATATAATAAATGTAAAGTACATAGGTTAATTATTATTTATGATAATCAATCATAAAATTGAAGAAAATTCATTAATACAAAATACAATTATAAATAACTTACAAACTTATATCGAATTCATTATAATACAAGAATTATCTACATATATGAATTCATATATTTAAATATCTTATTTATAATTAATATTAAATAAAAATATTCTAGAAATTTATTTGTTGGTAAATAAGTTGTTATCTTATGATTGAAATAAAAAGGTTAATATTTATTGTTATCATATTTATAAATTAGTCTAAAATATATTACAAATATAACCCAATTATAAGGCACATTTAACCATTTTGATTTATGATCCTGTATTATAAATCTTATTAATTGAAGGGTAAGAAATCAAAATTAAGGACATGCTATTATTATTTATTAAAATAGTGGCATCATAAACACGTGTTTGGTAAAGGCCGGGTTGGACTAGGCTTAGTCTGATATTATTTTTTTGGATTGGACTAGGCTTAGTCTGATATTATTTTTTTGGATTGGACTAGGCTTAGTCTGATATTATTTATTTGGATTGGACTAGATTAATCTTCGGAGCGCTATCTTAATAAAAGAAAATATGATAGTTACGTGGCCTTAAAATTTATTTTGTGGCCTCGCCAAAAACATCTTATTTTAGTCCCCCTTCAATGTAAAAATTGCCCCCCCAACTTGGGTGTTTGCTATGCCTCTGTTCTTAACAAATTATTTGTAATTGTAAATCAGAGACCCGGAACAAATTTTTTTTGTCCGTTCTATCTTTCCGCGTTTTGGAAGCGTTCCTCAAAAAATACCTTTTTTATTTTATATACAAACTATAGATCAATTATTATATCTAAGCATTCATTAAAGATTATCATTTACATGTGTGCTCTGACATTAATATAAGACTGATTTTAATTAATAACGAAACAGTTAAAATATTTAAAATTTGATTTAAAAAAAAGTTCTTAATTCTAAATAATAGTTCATTATTAATTAATAACATTGTTATATGTATCAAACTGGAATTAAAAGGAACACTAATATTATGTAAGCCAATATAAATATTATATTTATAATTATGGAATAAATTTAAATGTTACATATTAACCACCAGAACGTTTCGAAATTGTTCGGAGAACGATCTCGGAATCACTGTTCCAATTCCGTCCTTAATCCTTAATTTTCCCTAGTTACGTTCTTAGAATGTGTCCGGAACTTTCAGTTCTATGTCACTAAATTTACAATTGATAATGATATTTACCATGAATTTGGTTTAACAGATTTAAATCGAATTATGCTAAATCATGATTTAATTCAACCCCCATATTTTTTATATCGATATTTTTAATTTACTATTTATATCAAAATATATTAGTAATAAATATTTAGATAAAAAATTTATTTTACCAAATTTGACTTTAATTCATTTTTTTATTCAGATTGTGACTTTCATAATAAAAATTCTAATTAGATTTTATATATGACTATGATTGTCACCTAGACCTACTGGTAAGACAAAACTTTCATCAAATTTCCCTATTTTATAGAATATTAAATAAAGAATTTTATATGAAATGTATTAAAAATCTTAATCAATGTTTAGTTTATTATGATTTGAAACTAGTTTTCTTCCTAAGTTTGGAATGAACCATTCCAAATTAAGAAAATACTTTTTTCTACCCTGCAGAAATTAATATGATGTGGATAATTGTTTTAAATATTTGTGTATATAATATCTTTGTCATGAATGATTATCCTCTGACGATCATTATTAAAATGAGTTCACTTATTTGTCATCTGAAAATTTATTTGAATGGGTCATGTCTTGCTCGGAATTTTACCAAAATTGATTCCATATTGGTGCTCAGACATAACAATTTTCCATCATTGTCTAGATGTTAAATTAGAAAGATATTTCATATATAGCGTAATTAATAACAAATATTCTTTTACTCACTTTAATTTGAACGGATATATTACACTCTTAATTTTTTTTATCATTTAATTGAAATATTATTTGTTATAAATTTCGATTAAAATAAATTTTTTCGACATCATTTTTGCCATCCTTAACCAGGAATAAGCAAAATATTCTAAAATATTTAATTCAATTGAATTATTCTTTTCGAAAAATTTTCTATGTCATTTCAAATTAAACAAATTATTCTCAATTTTTGGAAGTTTGTTTCCAGTTAATCTTTTAATTGTAATTTTTATTTAAGAAGATTTTCAGAGTTTGGAACCTGGACTAAAAAGAGTTTTAATTCTTTTTAATTAGTGTTTCTACTCCTAAAAATTTGAAGAAGTTTTCGGTTAGAACTGAGATTTGATGCGGTTTTAAGGGTTCTTAGCATTTTTTTAAAACCTGTGTAGTAAAAATTACTATTTTCAAAAGTAGAGGGCTAGCGTTAATTTCTAAATATAAGTAGCAAGCTACATAGTGTTAAAAACCTCGATTTAACCCATTTTTTTTTTAAAAAAGTTTAAATCAAAATTTTATGTAAGCAAATATTGAGTAAACCTCGAGATTTTAGTAAAAATGAATCAAATATCTCTCCAATCATTTGGCGAAATATCGAGGCTTAGGTAATATTTGTTTGCCTAGAATAGTAATTCGAGATTTTTTTAACAATTATAGTGTCACTGTTATCGTAGCTCCTAATATCTATTAGTTCTTAACAGTAGCGCTTGTTTTTTACAATATCTTATCTCTTAGATATGGTAGATGCAACTATTTTTTATTTTAACATATTTAAAACTGCTTAAAAATATATATAAAATAATTTTAGTTTTCTTTCAATTAATATACTCCTATTTTCTTAGGTTTCAATTTTAAATCAAAAGACATCTTGATCATGTACTTTATATTGGCTGATAACCTTATGCTGTTGATTCAACGATTTATGAGTGTTCTTCATCGGCTCTAAATTTCTACATTGTTATACCCTATTTTTGGCAGTGATAAGATTTTTTACCATCTGACCTAATATTGCTATAGACAACTATAACTCCAAATTTCCTCTTTATCTCTTGCTTTCATGGCGTTAGTATTAACTACGATTCTTAAAAACGACTAACTCAATATTTTAGCCATAAAATAAGACACAAGTTTCGAGATTTCGTTAATAAATGTCCAAACCTTTCTACCTTCTATGAGCAAAATATATAGGCTTGCCTAATATTATTTATAAAAATATTGGGTTAGCAGTTTTTAAAAATCGAGCCGTTAAACAACACTCCATGACGTCATGTTTGTTTTCATAGATGATTATCGTTTTTATTTTCATCAAAGTTCGATTTATGGTTGGAAGAACATTTATTTTTTAAGTTAGGAAGGAAAAAATTAATATGTTGCAAGTGAAGATGCAAATGAATTGTTATTTTCCTTGTTTAATTAAGTTCGATAAAGACTATTATTTTCGGTAAATAATAAATTAAATTATGTATGTATGAAAATGGAAAGTAAATATTATAACCATCTTCACCATTAATTTGTTTTTTTTAATATATTAATAAAGCTAGGGATTAATAAAAGATAGCTTTTCTTAATTTTGTGATTAATTATTTAATTAACTTATTAGTATATTTAATTTTGATTAAACTTAAAGTAATTCATTCAGTCCTTTATCACGACTTTCAAAAAATATCCTAAAGAAACTAATAATAAAAAAAATATTTAAAAAAAAAATTTGGGAGAATATTTTTTGTGGACTAGAGTATTCCTAGAATTCTTCAGTCGCTTCGCTTCCACTTTTTAATTTTCTTAATAATGAATCAATTAATTTATCATAAAATCGAGACACAAATTGGTGAAAGTTCAAATTATCTATTAACAATTCATTAACTTAATTGGTTTTAAATTATTTTTTTCTAAATTTAGATGATTTAATTTAGATGATTTAATTTAGAGACCTGCAGGCCCTGCCCTAAGCCCCCGGGTACACGGGCCGGGCTGTATTTTAATTTTTTTAAAATATACACGGGCCGGGCCTGAATATTTTTATAAAAAAATATCCGGGCCGGGCCCTGTATTTTAAAACCAAATATTTGAAATCACCATTATTAGTTATAAAAATCAAAAATAAATAAAATATATTTTTAAAAAAACTCGGGCCGGGCGGGGCCGAAAATAATTTTTGGGAAAAAAATCCGGGCCGGGCCGTACAATTGATACCTTTACTATAATTATTATACTGCTTAATATAATTTAAATAATGGAGAAAAAATGTGTTGGCAAGTGTGGGCCTAGGGAAACAAATCCCCTAAACAATATGATATAAACTCTAAAATAAATCAAACAACATTTTGAACAATATCAATGTACCTTTATAAATTACTTGTACTTTTTTGGAACCGATTCCTAGAAATTTTATTCCGAAAGAATAGTATTAAATTAAGATTCTTAATAGCACTGGTAGATGCATATTTTAATTTAAAAACACATTATATTTATGTATAATCCTTGAAATAATTTATTTTTAGATATGATATGACTCATTTAAAAAATGGAGGGCTAAACTGATATTCCATATCAGTTCAGATTTTCAAGTTATTTATTTTACTTTCTTAAAAATGGGTCAGAAAATTCTGACAGACAATGCATTAATTAAAATCCTATTTAATTAATAATTCATTCTTGAAAACTGAATTCTATTCTTAATTATGTTGTATAAATAGACAAAATTTTTAGTGAACGTGAGATGAATATCTATCAATTTAACATAATCGATCTAATAAAATTGTACCTTTTTTGAATATTGATAAAATGAAAATAAATCTAATTGCTTTTATAGATTATGGCATTTTTTAGAATAAAATAGAAGTAAATTTTAAAAAAAAGATATTATAATTTTCCGATCACAAGGCAATAGGGGTGACAGTTGTAATTTCTTGAGATCGTCGTCACTTCTGTTCAATGTCTAATACTGTTTATGAATTTATCAACGAAAACTCCAATAGTTTTGGTACTAAAAAAATAAATGTTATATTTAAATCCTAATCATTTTTGCCTGATTGAATATCCACAATTAAAATAATAAAAAAAAATCAGGAGGTAGGAAATATTTAATTTCATTTTATTATAATATTTTGTAGTAATTATAATAAAATAAAAAAACATAATCAGAGTTATTGCTAAATATTTAAATTAAATGCATAACAATATTATAGAGAAAATTTTTTTTGAGATTTCTTTCATAACGGAACCTAGATCTAAAAAAATCTGCCACCCGGTCCTGGGCAGGCTTGGGCCAAATAATTTCGCTTTAGCAAGCCTCTAATTATAATAATCTTAACTATATGAATATTTTGTTTCTAAAATTTCATTATCACTAATTTTTTTTGTTATAATTTGCTAATTTTGTCAAATTTTATATTTTTTTTGTAAAAAAAAATAATATTTAAGCTTTTCAGAATTTATAATATTTAAGTCTGTTTTTTCCACATAATTTTGATATTTTTTAAAAATGAATTTTTGAATAATCTTTATCAGTTATTACTTAAAATCTGCCACTCCACCCCTTTTAAGTATAGTGTTCCAAAATGCGTTTGTTTTATTTCAAATAATGTGTCCTAAATGGTATGGTGCAAATTTAGAAACTTTTTTTACATTAAAAAAACGCAAATTATATTTTTATTTATTTTTTCCCATTTTTTTTATTTTTTGTTTATAACGTTATTGTATAGTAAATATATAAAAATCAACATTTATAAATATTAAAATATAGTTAGTTTTGATAATAAAAAAATTCATGTAATAAAAATAATTATTTATGGTAATTTGTTGCATTTTAATAATAAAATCTTTTCAATATTATCATCCCCAAGTCTAGAGCGACGATCAGAAAGTATAAGTTTTGCCTTACTAAATAATCTCTCGGCACTAGCACTTGAGGGTAAGGTTATATACATATTTTTAATATAAGATAGATTATCAATAATTTTATTTGCAAGTACATCGTATGTCTGGCATCCTATTATCATTTTGAGGGCTGATGCCATAGATCTTCTTTTTAAAGTCCTAGGGTCTAGCCAATGGCCTGATTCACCAAATAAGCTCAAAAATATTTAATCAGATCAATTTATAAATATAAATAAGTTTTTACCTTCTGTTATGTGTCCAACTATCAGCCATGGTATGTATATATCTCTGATAACTCTACTATTAGAGCATCTTTCATTATTTTAAAGTTATCTGCTATTTTATTAGTGTCTGGCGGCATAAAATTATTGTACTAGGGGATAGAGTTTTAAACATCATGGCAAATGATGGATTATCAGCCAAGGACATTGATTCAACTGTATAAATTATAAAATCAGCAATAACTTCATCAGCCAATTTCTGAGAAATATGTCATTTGCATTATTAATTAATTTGGTGAATTGAATTAGCCTTTTTAGATGTAGAGTCGCTTATATCAAAATTATTTAGATGTTTCTCCATTTCCTTTAAACTCATAAACAGTCTTATAAATAATTATTATTAGAATGTAAAAATGACAATTTACCTTTAGGTGTTTCTTGAGGTTATAGCTACTGGATTGATTTGAGGAAATATTTTTTTTACATTTTAAACAAATAAATTTGAAACCAGTTTTGGTTATATATTTATTTTAAAAAATTTTCAAATCTAGGGAATGGGAAATTTGAATTATAGCTATTAATAACATTTTCTTCCCTGGTATCTTCCATTTCATTAATATCATTGTCTGAATCACTTTCAACGATTTGGATATCCATAGGCGATAACATTTTAAATTATTAACACGTGATTTAGATTTATAATACAAATGAAAATATAATTACAAATTGAAATTATATTTCAATTTCAAAATTAAATAATAAATCATAAAATTATGATATTATATTTAAATTTTCATGTTTATAATTACCTTCATTATATTTTTTAAAAGTAGCGAAGTAGCGGCTACTTAGCTACTTTCAAAAAAAGTAGCGCTTAAAAATTAAATAATTACAAAAAAGTAGCCGCTATTAGCTATAGCTACCAAAAAAGTTAGCGCGCTACTTTAACAACTCAGCATAGAAAAAAATACAATGTTAATTTCTACCGTTACCCCCACTAAGGTGATATCTTTTTTAGTATTAAAATCAGGGAAATTATATGTAACGTTCCAGGACAAAACTTGGATAAAATTAAGGAATGAGAAGAGAACATCCCGAAATAGAACGTTCTAAAAAAATTTATTTTACTAAATTATAAATAAAATACTTATAATGGCTTTGCTTCATAGCAAAAAGGTATTATTACCCAGTATTTAATAATATCATGTCATCTTAAGATTATAAGATTTTCTTTTAAATCATTTTATGTCATAAAATTAATGATATAAAACAAGTTTGTGTTGAAAGGTATTATTCGAGAGCCAATTTAAAATAGAACTATCGGACAAATATAAAAGATGATCTCTTAAAAAATGTCATTAATACTTAGATATATGATTAGGATTCAAAATCCCGCCTTCTGTCTCAAAAAGTTCCCAGTATTGGATAGAATAGGCTCATAACAGGTTGTAAAAACCAACGAAAGAGATTAATGTCAAGAGGGCATCTTGATAATAATAATTTTCTCTAATACCTTCTATAAATAGTGCAATGAAATAAGGTAGGATACAACCTAAAATACCCCGAGGACATAATCCGCCTATGAAAAAAAAGAATGGGAAACCGAGTAGAGCTACAAGTGAAAATGATAGATAAAGACTCTATTTTTGATCAATGGCAATGCCCATTCCCAGGACCACAAAAAATGGAGAAAGGGTATTGGGGAAAAACTGTAAACAAAAAAGATGAATAAATTATGGAAATAGTGATAAAATTATTTTTTTAGGAACATGTTTTGACACCTGATGCTAAATTTTTTTTATTGAACAAGAACAGGAATCAAAAATACCTTTGTTCCAAATCCCTGATTAAATTTATCCCCCCCCCCCTCCACCTTCATTTATTTAGAAGACATAACTTGAAAACTTTTAATCAAAATATCTACATACTATTTTTATTGTATGATTCTTTAATAAATATATACAATTTAACACAATAAATAATTTTAAAATATATCATGCAGGAGTAATTATCAAATATATTGCACAAAAAAGTATCAATTGAATGAATGTTGAAAGATATCACAGAATAAGTCATAAAAATAAAACATTAATCCTGTATTGAGACCAGCTTTTAATAGTGTTGGGGACAAACCTTTATAATAGCCCATAAAGCCTTCATTTTTCTTTATAGTAGATATGCAATGGATAAAATTTCTATACTTTTCAAACTATAAACTTATTAATTTCTTTTAAATTACTTAATAATATAATACCTTGCCAAATTTGTGCCTAGATTCTTCGAATCCTTGAATTTGAAGACGTTTTTTAATTGTATCTAAAGGGTACACAATAATTTTTGCTAAAGTCCCTGAAAATGCTCCATATATAAAATTGATAATTGTATGATGATTTTCAAAAACTAAAAATTTTTTAATTTCATAATTTATATTCAATATATTAGAAAAAACTTTTATATTTGTGAGTGATTCTTGATTCATTTTTAAGAGTTGAATAAAACATAAAATATAAGCCTGAATAAGGGGCTATTTGTATTATTGATGGTGTTAGACCTTTGTAAAAACCCTTTATACCTTCCTTGTGATATATGATGTTTGCACCATGAAGAATCCCACGATATACCTTATATAACAAAACAAATACATATGAAATTTTTAATATAATTTAAAAAAATTGATTTTTCATGTTTGAAAAACTAATTTTAAAAGTTATAAATAATTTTAGCAATTGTTTCTAAGTAATAACCTTTTGAGTTTCATATTGAGATACTAACCTGGTTTTAAATAAATCGAAGGGAAAAGTGGCAGATGTAGAAATAATTCCTGATATACTACCACTGAGAAATGATATAATTGGTGTATTTGATTGTTCCATATTTGATTTGTACAATTTTTTAAGAAAATTATTCATACATTCATATGTTGCAAACTTTATAAAGTAGCATAGTATTTAAAAATTATCATTTACTTGTACACCTCCATAAATCATTGATAAATATTGAGCAGGCATATGGCCTTTCCAAAAGGCAAAAATTCCTTCTTCCTTAAATATAAGGCGTATAGCGTGAGCCATATTTTTATATTTACCATTATTTCGTGGTTCTAATTGTAACTATTTGATTTGTTGAACTATATTAATTATAACTTTATATAACTTGTAAACGTATTTTTATAACATCTAATGGTTGGCAAACCATACGGGTGCAAATACCACTAACATTACCAGCTAAGAAACTAATCAGATAGGGTTTAGGTTTAGGATAATTTAGGTCATCATTACTTATAATTGGCATGGATAAATATAAATAGTAAAAAACATCTGTTAAAATATACGTTAATATGAATTCTGCGAAAATAAATAACGTGTAAATATTTTTTCAATTATATTATCAGAGTTGTTAAAGTATCTAGATATAAAAATGTGGTATCTGTCTCTAGATAGATTTTTTGTTAAAATGTCTGTATTTAGATTTTATTTTAGAGATATCTGTATCTTTTAGATACTTTTTAAGATACATTTTGACATACTTTTATTTAACGCTTTTTTATATTATAAATATAAATACTTGAATTAAAAATTTATTTTATTTCATATGAACTTATAATTTAAATATATTAAACTATTAATCATAAATATGTAAAAAAAATTAATCTGTTGATGAATTTTAATTTTTGTAAATTCTCCACGTCTACAAGAATATTTATTTTTGATATCATTGTTAACTGAAGTGTCTGAATATTAGAATTAGGTTGATGGTTGGGGGAGGTATCATTCCCAGTTGTAGTATCATTTAAAATATTAATTACATAAAAAATTTGTTGCTTGGGTAATATGTTGTATGTGGATAATTTGATTTTGTATTTATCCTTAAGTGTTTATCTTTATAAAATTTTATGGAAATAATATTTTAAACTGTTTTTATGGAAACTAATACCGAGTTTGCAGGAGGTATAATTTTTAAATTTATCATATGCTATCTCACATATTAGACACAATTGCAAGAATAATATTTTTGGTCATTTTAAAAATTATCAATCGTATAATTATACAACAAATTTAATATACTTTGTGCTTATAATATATAATTAATAACAACACAAAATTGTGCTTTATATATAATAATTAAAATTTAGTCTTATAATTGCGAAAAATCGGATAAGTGAGAAAATATTGATTTTTTCAGTTCCAACACTTCGCAAATATCTGGTCAGACGAAGAATAAACATTGAATTTAAAAAACAGGAGGGTCTTATTGAGATCCGCAGTAACTAAGATTAGCCTCGTAACAGCAATTTAGTTGATTGTAAAGTTTAAAATTAGATCCATGATCCCCATGATTTAAGAAACTTTTTCTACCTGAAATCCTAAAACATAATAACTTAAGGTGCCTATGAACTCATTGGTGGAAATAACTGTTGGGATAAAATAATAATCTGAAAGTTGTGGTAATTTCTAATTTTTGAACTTTCAGTTTTTATAATTGGGTCACTGTTTGGGTTAGAGTAGAGAAAGATGAGTAACCAAGAGCCCCCCCCCCTCTATCAGTTCAAATTTGTCTATAAAAAAATTTCCCCTACACATCACCTCCTTTTCCCTCAAAAATAACAATATATTACTATAAAGAAGGATTTAGGAAATTAGTAAAGTTAATAAATTTTAAAAATAATGACTAATTCAAAATTTTAAGTGAATATCTAAAATTATTTTTATAAAACATTATAATGATGCGAAATCGCTCCAGCCGATTTTTTAAAAAAACCTAGCTTAATATTTTAGTCAGAAAAATATTGCCCTAATATTCCGGTTTAGCTAATAGAGAGCAAAATTTTCTGGATAAAATACAGAATTCGCCCTTTTTAAAAATAGGCTCAAATGGAACATATTTTCATCACTAGCTGTGTACCCAAATAAAATATACGAAAAATTAGTTTTTAAAAAGATGGAATTATTTCTTCAAATTTACGAATATGAACAATATATTATTTTTTCTTACGAAGACTAAAAATACAAGTATACAATTTGATTTTCTTGAGTCCCTAAATGGATCACATCTTCCCATCCATTTATAACATATTATTTCTTATTATTTAATATGATTAAAAATAAAAGTAGTTTATATTATTTAAAAATTTTTTTTAATATATTCTAAATTATGAATGTCATTAATTTAGATTAAATTTAATAAATTTTAGCCAAAAAATGAAGGATTAAAACGTCACACCTCCTAAATAGTTCGCAACCTTATATAAAATTCTTGAAAAAATAATAATGTAGATATAAAGTGCATTATTTTTTCTGGTCCTTTCCGTTTTCTATTTCCAATTTTTAGTGATAAAATGATTTTCCTTTTTTATGTTAAGTTATATAATATAGTATTAAATTGGTTCTTAACCATGCTCTACCTTTCTCTAAAATGCGTCTCAAAAAATATGCCATGATATAAATACTTTTTAAGTATAGCGTCTTACAGGCGCATACGCAGGAATTTGGTATTGGGGGGGGGGATAATAAGTTTTTTTAAGAAATATTATTGTTATTTAAAAATATCAAGCATAAATTTACTAGGACTAATAACTATTTCTAATACACAATTTTAAATTATATGAATTATAAAAAATATATATATATAAACCGGCACATAAAAAACTATAAAATAAATAGGAAATTAAAAAATATAAAGTGAATATAACCACCATATGAATCACTTAAATGACCCAAAATAGAAATTTGAATTTTTTGAGCCTTTAAAATTTATATATAAAGTAAAAAGTTTTAATGTTGGAAATATAAATATTAATTACACAAAGTTTCTTAGGAATAATTGTATTTTGTATTATATACAATGTAAAATCCAATCTTCGTTGGGATTGAGCTAATTTTTCAATTACTCATCCTTGCTTGGCGTCAAATGTCTATAAATGTTTAAAAGATCCAAACCATTCAATCCACTTTCAGAAGTTGTACTTCTTAGGTATGTTTTCAGAGAACTGCAGGCTCGGTTCCCGGACCGAACCGTATTTTAATATTTTAAATACACCTAGACAGGGCCCGAATTTTTTTTTAAAAAACACACAGGCTGGGCCTAAATTTTTTTTAAAAAAACACCCAGGCCGGGCCTAAATTTTTTTAAAAAAATTTATCCGGGCCCGGCTATATATTTTAAAACCAAATATTTGAAATTAGCTATAAAAATCAAAAATAAATATAATTTATTTAAAAATATCCGGGTCGGGCCTGAAAAATTTAATTTAAAAAAAGCCGGGCCAAGCCTGAGAATTTCTTTAAAAAAAACCCGGGCCGGGCCGAAAAAAATTTTGAAAAAAAATCCAAGCCGTGCCCTGCAAATTGTATCTCTGAGAGGCTCTGTTATTCTTCTTAAAAAAGAGAATGTTCTCTCATTATTAATGGGAAGAGTTGCTAATATATATATAATCATTTTAATACATTGGGAACAAAATCTAAAATGTGTTTGAAATTATAGAAAGCATCCATAGCATTTTTTGGGACTATATCTTAGTTAATCTTTTAAACATAGTTATTCAGCTAATAAGGCATCAAACAAATATTATTTTTTTTCTATCACCATCTGAAAAAGATTGGGAAGGCTTTTGTGTGGAAGTAATATCTGCAGATTGGTAAGTGCTGCATGATGAATTAAAAACCATTCATTTATTTGGATTATAGTGTTATAATACTTTTCTACTGATCTTATACTAATGTTTTGAAGATGAGCTTGCCTTGCTGCAAATCGAGTGAGACAAGTATTAAACACGTATAGCTCTCCTTTTGACTCAACAATAACATATAAAATTGAAATTCTTTATCAACATTAGCCTTAATTTCCTTGAGTTCTATTAAATGCTCTCCGCTATTCTCATCTTCTTAATCAAGCAATGTCATGTTTTTGAAAAGTATTACATATAGTTTTATAATTAAATAATACATTCTAATGAGAAAAAAAAATTTGGAATAAGCATTGAATCCAATAATTTTCTTGCTTCTGAGGAAATATTTCTTTCAGGCCATTGTGATATTTCAGTAATTTAATAATCGGTTCTTCTAACTCCATAAAAGCTGTTACTGCTTGATGGCGGAGACTCCATCTCGCTGGACAAGCTTGCACTTTCTTTCTCCCTGTTGGAAAAGGAGTTTCAGAAAAATTATTATTTGACTAGAAATATGAAAATGGTAGATAAATATTATGCCACTAGAAATTTGAAAATAATACGTAAATATTACGCCAATGAAAACTTGAAATCGAAATTAATTGATAAAATAACTTAATAAATAAATGTTATTTTTGAAAAATATATCCGGCATCTGCATTTTTTGGCTTGGAGAGGGGGAGCTCGTACGCCAATGACGTCTTAACTTAAGTAGTTACTTAAATTATGATATAAATATCATTTTTTTTCTTAAGAGCTAATCAATTAAATATCGCAATCGCAGCATCAGTTATATATTTTTTAAAACTTAAATGAGTTCTTTATTATTAACTTAAAATATATATGAATTATAAGTAAACAGAAGATTTTTATAATAAAATATCAATTATAAAATAAATTTTAATTAATTTTGTAAAAGTTTTAATCTAGAAAATAAAATTTTTTTCCAAAAAAGTTATCCTTGGCTAAACCAATTAGTCTTTCACCGGGAGAATCGGATGGGATAATGGATGTCTCATTAAAAAGGGGAATTTTAAAAAAGGAAGCTTTTTAAATATACTTGTTCTACAATTTTTTATTTCAAGTTTCCACGCTTTAATTTGCTTTTTTCTAAATAAAATATGTATAAATTTTATTTAATTATACAATTAAGAATAAAGTTTTATGTAAATGGACCTCGCATATTTTCCCGTACATTCTCCTCAGGATGGATAGTATACCAACCTGCGTAATGAATGAATTATATTCATCATTTTAAGTAGAATATTTTAGCTATTTACAAAGAAAAAAATGAATAACTATTAATTATCTACCTATTTAAATATAGAGTTAACTCGGCTACCGATTACTACTCAAACAATATAACGCGCTACTTTCAATACTAATTAATCAGTTACTTATAAAATTAATATCATAGCCCTAACCAAATTGTTTACCGAGATATTCGAAAATTGATATGCATTGCATATCCCAATATTTCGTTTTCTAAAAGCCCATATCCTCTGAAGTAACTGGAGATGGGATATTGTTTTAAAATCTTTTCTTATCATAATAAAAAAATTTTAAATATTCTTAGGGTTCTATAAGAAGATCGACTTTTTAATTCGTTTAAATGTGTAAAATATATATAAAATATATACTTATTAATCAATAATTTAATGAAGTATAATATGCAT